TTGTTTTTGAATGAATATAAAATTGTATTCTATCAAAAGAGTTTTTACAATAAATGTATCTTTTTCCAAAATCAAGTTTAAAGCAAATTATACTAAAACATATTTTGAGAAAATGATTATGGTCGAGTCATAAGCCATCGCTCCATGACCTCCATAAAGGAGTGATCTCCTCCTTTCTGGATTGAGTTTATACAGTTCGTTAAAGTCTTGTTAATGTTCTTAATAAGAGACGTTGATGGTGTTGCAACTTCTCTATGTCACCTTTGATTCCTCTCATGCTATAGATGGTAGACACTAATTTGAATGCGCAAGGCAACAGAAATATATCATGTTTTGTTTCAAGAAGATGCGAGGAGGGTGACAATCTGATCCCAAGCATTTGTATGATCTTGCCCAAGGAGCTTCGATACGGTCATGTGCCATATTCCCACAGAGTAGTTGCACTCGAAGGAAATATGGTTCCTCGTTTCGTCTACTGTCCTGCATAAGATACACTCCATATTCTGACTAAGATCCCAACTCCCCATTCTATCATAAGTCACCATTCGGTTTTGAATTGCTAACCAAGTTAGGAACACATACATGGGAGTGGCATGAGAAAACCACACTCCTTTGTGCCAAGGTTTTACGGTATGGCCAGGTCGAAGAAGCTTCCATGTGTTTCTAGTGACAAATCGATGTTTGTATACATTATCAGAGAATGATAAATATAGTATTAGCTTGTATGGTCTTTGGCTATTTCATTTCATGGCTCTTCAATTTCCATGTTTCCTCTTCCTCTTAAAACCTACTCCCTCTATTTCAGTGTTTAAGGTAGTGACACAACAATTAAGAAATTCAATAAATAATGTAACTTTTTGTGTATTTCATATAGAGGGCCCTTTGTGTTGTGTGGCTTTATAACACGTGGGTAATACAACTCCTAAATGGCAACGGCTACAAGTTGGAAAGATCAAAGGCAAATTTGGTGAGTTACGCGGAACGTCAATAAACCCTTATCGGAGATGGTTTGGAACCCAAAACGGCAGCGTCTCAGGCCATCTCCGATCATACCTCACTCGTCGTTTTTGTACTCGTGTACGTTTTCTTACTCCTTTTATCCATTTTTGTCTCTTATAGTTTTGCCCTCAACGTGTTTGATTAAATGTCTGTGAGAGACCAAGTTCACGTTGATACGAATTTGTTATTTTCTTCCGAGTAATTTGATGCTGATTGTTTATTCCGTAGATTCCATTGTCATCTGAGAACGAGTTGTTGAGGAAAAAATCGTCTTTTCTCACAAGACATATCGTTGTTTGAAGCATGTAGATACTTTAAAATTGAAAGATTGGACTTTTAACGTAGGAAAGTTTGTTCTTGCAAGGAACCCCTTATTTCATACTCTCAGTCTATCATTGTTTCAGTTCTTTTTAATCAGGTTTATATTCACATTTACAGAGAGAAAGAAAGCTAAATCATACAATAGTTAGTCCGCAGCTGCGAGATACTGAAGCTATTAGGAGTTTGAAGGTATGTTCCATTCTTTTATCTGAATACTAAGATTATGTCATTTTTTCGACAGTTGAAAGAGATTCTAGATTTTGTCAGTTCGACTGCTAGCTTGTCTCCAAAAATCCAATTTTATATGGTTCTTTAGACAATCATATATCAGTTGATTTGAGTTCTAAATCGCTACCATTAGTTTTACCATTGTTAACGAAAATGCTTGTTTCAGATTGGTAGTCATCTCGACATCTATGCGTTTAGAATATTGCCCCCTAGCTAATCTGCTTGATGTCATGATCTGCTCGAAACCGACAACAACAGAGGAAATGAATTCCCTACATAATGTAGCAAGCCCTAAGGTAGGTTGTAATCTTATTCCTAGGTGACAAGCAAAACACATCTCAGAGTTGCTTCCAAATCTACTGAATCTGTATAGAACTGGTAGACTCGGGGAAATATTGTTTGTGATTGTATACAGCTAAATCCTTAACATAAACGTTCTTAGTCATAAGCTTATATGATTATTGTAGACTTGTAGTGTTGGTGTGGTTTACTTATTTTAAAAATTTGGGGGTTCACTTTGGATTTTTTTTTAAAATATATGGTCCTCTTTTGGTAATAAAATATCCTTATTTTGAAGAATATAACCACCGATTAAATTAGGCTACTGTAGTAGCAATGAACCATATGTATGACTTTTGAGTAAAGTGTAAGTGGTCCTATAATTCATATAACTATAATTAGCCTATATGACAAAAACAAAATAAGGAGAAATTATATTATGATCTTTAAAATCATCTGTATTTCCCCCATCTCCCCCTAATAATTATCATGCGATCTATAACTAAATCAG